AGAATGTTCTGCTCTCCTGTCTTGACAAATATAACTTCATACCAACAGAGAAAGCCAGTTTCAAATTTAGAATTCTTGGACTCCTTGGAGCTTTGCAGCAGAATGTGGTGATGCCAAGAGAGCTGGCCTCCAGCTGACAGCCTACCCCTCTCTCTTCCCACCCCCCTCCCACTGCAAGGACGTACCAACATGGACACAATGCCCACGTTCCATCCACATCCCACCAGCAGCTGTCCCCGTGGCCTCAGGCTGTGGGGTGGTCCACCCTCAGGAGCACAGATCCAGGGATGGGGTCCACTCGGGCCCTCAGCACCCACTGGCAGGAATCCTGGGGTCCTGGTAGCCTGAGCTGGTTTAGAACATTCTCTTGGGTCCGCAATTCCTCATTCCATGGAGAAAGGTACAGCTTCAAGAAAGGCTAAAGCACGAGGCCCTGGGCAGGGGACCCTCTTGTCCGTTCAAAGGGCAGGACTGTAAAAGCCAGTCAGTGAAGCGTGGAGTAACCAACACCCACCCTGGCCCTGAGCCTCCAGCTGCTTCTCTGTCCACACTCTGCCTGCCAGCCCACGAGCGCAGGCACAGTCAGGGTGATGTAGGAGCTCGAGGCCCCAGCACCCTCGGCTGGGCAGAACCCCAAGCACGATTCAGAATCAGCACTTTCAGATCCTTTCTCTCCAGGTGGAGACACGGGCCCCTGCAAGGGTGTCTGAAGCACTGGCCTGGGGGCAAACAAAAGTCTCAGAGCTGAAGTAAGAATGAGGGGAGAGATAGACAAGCACGTGAGTGTGGACAGAGAGCCAGCATCTGGGTTCCAGAACTTTCCAGCACCTCCAAGTGAGCAAATCAGTGCAGCAAGCCTTGAGCCCTCTTTGCAGAAATTCAGGATCTTCCAAGTTTTGTGAGTGACAAAGAGTTTGAAAATACAAAGAAATGACCAAACCCACTTGAGGAAAATATGTTTTCACCTGCTCTACTTATGACTTCAGAGGAACAGAAGTTTCCTTGCCTTTCCCAGCCTTTCCCTTCTATCTGTTGTTCTCACACCATAAGGACTCTGGAAACTCAACAGTCAGGGTCCAAAGCATCTGTATGACAAGAAGTGAGGCAGGGCCCAGTGTGGGGTGGGTGTGCTTCATGGGGAACAAGGGGATCCCAGGAGATGCTCCCTAATCTCCCATGCTTGCTGACTTTGAGTGAGACATTTAACACCAGAGCTTCTGAACTGCTTCTGGCAAATACATATTAAGATTTCTCTTCCAAAACATGGAAGGGGATTCTGATAGTTCATTTTCTGTGTCAACTTGCGTGGGCCAGAGGTTCCAGACATGTGGTCAAATATTCTTCTGGGTGTGTCCGTGAGGGTGTTTTTGGATAAGATTGACGTTTGAATCCATAGTCTGAGTAAAGCAGATTGCCATCCAATGAGGGTGGACCGCGTCTAATCAGTTGAAGGCCTGGATTATAGAACAAAAAGGCTGACCCTCCCACAAGTACAAGAGAACTCCTTCTGCCTGACTGATTGAGCCAGGATATTGGTCTCTTCCTGACTCTGGACTTGAACTGAAACACTAGCTTTTCTTGGGTCTCAAGCCTGTGAGCATTTGGACTGGACCCACACTGTTAGCTGTTCTGACTGTCCAACTTGTTGACTGTAGATCTTAGGACTTCTAAGTCTCCATGTTGCCTGAGCCAATTCCTTACCATAAATCTCTTCTCTCTGTATGTACAGATCCACCCTTCTGGTTCCACCTCCCTGAAGAACCCTGACTAACACAGAAACTTGGTGAGACAAGAATGGGTGATGGGGAGCTGCCTTCTGCAGCAAAAGTTAGAGAGGAGGCTGGGGCTCTGGGCGCTCAGAGCTTTCCTTCCCTTCAGCCCCTGGCCCACTGTGGCTCCTGGCTGGAAGGGCGAAGGGATGGACTGTAATCTCCCAGGGAAACGGCAGGGGCCCAGCAGCAACCGGCAGCACAGCAGAAGTTCTCTGGACTCTGCTTCTCTCTGGCACTGTGCTGATTAGTTTTTTACTGTTTCTTAGGCTGGGAAAGGTGCGCCCCTTGTGATCAAGCTTAAAGTCTCGCTGGTGCTGAAGCAAGGGGAGATTTCTCAGAAGGAAGAGAAAACCCACAAACATGTCACGGTGCTGGGGGCTCCAAGCGCCCTTCCACCCGGAAGCACCTGGAATCCATTATCCATCCCAGATGCCCGAAGGCTCCTCCCTGACAAGGAGGCTTACCTTGGTACATGGCGGCGGAAATCGGCCAGCTGACGCCCAGGGCCTCGTCCTCTCGGAACGTATCACAGAAGTCCCACAGCATGGCCAGGCCCAGGCCCTGGCGGTGGTACCTTCTCCTGAAAAACACGGTGTCGAAGATGGGCAGCAGGTAGCAGGCACCCGTGCCATCGCCACACAGGCTGCCTGCAGGGAAAGCAAGAGACACACGCTGTCCCCTGGGCTTGACTAACCGGCCAGGACCCTCCTTCTGGGCTGGGTCCCTGGTACCGCCTGGAAGCAGGGTTGGCTTCAGAAACTAAACCACCAAAGACAAGACAGCTGATCATTCCAAACCTGCAGTTCTCCAACTGACGGTCATCCCGTGTGTTCTGAATTGCTGCCCTCACTGCCGCTAGACTACTGCCCCCAAATGAAAAGCAAACCTGGTGATTGAGCAGAGCAAGGCCATCGGCACACCCAGGGTCCTCAGACCCCTCCCTTGCTGTGCACATTTCAGAGAGCCCTGAGGTCAATGAGGAGCATCTGGGTAACATCAAAGTTCTCCCTGAACCAGAGGATGTGGGCTGGGAGATGCAGCCCACACATCTCCAGGGCACGGACTTGTCCAGTAACCCTTAACAGGGGCTCACCATGTCCAATTGTGGCAAAGGACACTTACCCCCAGCAGACTAAGTCCTGTTTCCCATCGAAACATCAATGACCCTGCGACAGGAGAGCAGGAGAGGCGATAGTTGGCACCTTTCCCACTTTTCCAACCTGAACTGAACTTCACTGCAAACAGTACCAACACCAGCACAGTTGCTGTTTCTGCAACTGGAATCTGACGCTGTAGCCATTCACCTCTGTTGTCACCCTAAGCAGAAAACCAATGCCACACAGACCCGACTACATCACCTTCCTCACTTCCCAACTGCCTGTGCCCTAGGTGCACTGGAGCCCAGGAAAAGAAATATGTCGTACATTCAGTTCCTATTGGACGAGGTGGTATTTGTGCCCACCAAGATTCAGAAGGTGAGTAATTTCCCAAAACAAATGAAAAATGATTCTGAGTCTGATCAGCCAGGCAGAACTGCAGATACATGCTACTGTCGTGAACTGTTTGCAAAAATGACCTATCACGCCATGAAAAGATATGGAGAAAGCTTACGGCATATGATTAAGTGAAAGAAGCCAATCTAAAAAGGCTACATACCATACAGTTAGAATTATGTGATATTCTGGAAGAGGCAAAACTGTGAAGGCAGTAAAAATATTAGTAAAAATATCAGCTTGTACATGATCATCTTCACGTCGTGTCCTCTCATGGTTTTTCCTGTGTGTGCACCTCCTTGGTGACCTTCTGTGTGTCCAAATACCCTCTTCTTATAAGGACGCCAATCAGATAGGACTAGAGCTAACTCATCACCTCTTAGGCCTGTCTCCAATAAAGTCACATTCTGCGGTACTGGGGGTTTGGGCTTCAACATGGATTTTGAGGAGATACAATTCAGTCCGTAAGAATGTATTATCATTAACTAAAGTCCATCTGTTACCATAATTGATCCCCTTTACATATTTTGTCCTCCCCCTCCCCCCTCCCCTAGTAACCACTACTCTGTTCTCTGTATCTACCTGTTTGCTTTTGTTAGGTATGGTTTATTCATTTCTTTTGGTTCCTTGTCCCTTTTATATTCCACATAAAAGTGAAATGATACAGTATTTGTCTTTGTCCAGCTGACTTATTTCACTTAGTTAGCATAATACCCTCAATGTTTATCCACACTGTCACAAATGGTAAGTTTTCATCTTTTTATTGGCTGAAGAAGCATTCCATTTGTTGTGTGTGTGTGTGTGTGTGTGTGTGTGTGTGTGTGTGTGTGTGTGTGTGTACTAACAACTACTACCACTACTA